TATTCTATTCTATTCTATTCTATTCTATTCTATTCTATTCTATTCTATTCTATTCTATTCTATTCTATTTTCTATTCTATTCTATGTCTCAGCCCAATCTACTTCACCTACTGTGTTTCTCATAAAATAAGGCCAGGCCTTTTTTTTTTTTTTTTTGAGCCCCGAAAAACCGGCTAGGACATCTTTTCGGGGGTGAATTAATTTCTTTTCCCCCTCTCGCGCACCAGCGCCGTCTCCAACAAAAAAGCATCTGAGTCGCTCCCGCTTTCCCCCTGTCCCCATAACAACAGGAAAAAAAAGATTTTGAGGTACCTGGGAGCGCCACGCGCTGCATTTTGGTTTAATCCTGAGTGGCTGGGTGAGCGTGAGAAGAACCGAGAGAGCGTCTCTGCTGCTGCTACCCTTGGTGCTCCATCCTCGGGCTCTACAAGTTTGCAAAAGTCCCGGTGCGCAGCCCATTCCTGCATTCCAAGTGCCCAGGCCGAGCTGCAGCTGTCCCTCTCTCACCAGCGCTGTCTCCAATAAAAGCGGCAGCAGCGGCAGTAACCGTGGAAGTTACGGAGGTGGCTCCCCCACCCGAGAAGCAGCTAAAATGCTTCCAGGGTTCCCGCCACTGCTGCTGCTGTTATTGGAGACGGTGCTGGCGAGAGAGGGACAGCTGCAGCTCAGCCTGAGTGCTTGGAATGCAGGAACGGGCTGCGCACCGGGACTGTTGCAAACTTGCAGAGCCCAAGGCTGGAGCACCAAGGGTAGCAGCAGCAGAGACGCTCGCTCGTTTCTTCTCACGCCCACCCAGCCACTCGGGATTAAACCAAAACGCAGCACGTGGTGCTCCCAGGTACCTCAAAATGTTTTTTTTCCCTGTTATTATGGGGATGGGGGGAAAAGCGGGAGCGACTCAGACGCTGTTGTTGGAGACAGCGCTGGCAAGAGAGGCGCCAGCACCAGTGGGAACTCTGGAAGCTACGGAGGCCTGAGAAGCGGCTGAAATGCTGCTGGACATCCATGCCGACACCGCCCACCTGCTGACCTGGATAAGGGAGGAGTAAGGAAGCCCTCCGTGCTCCACCATGGTCTTAGGAGTGGCTGATGGTGAGGCGTAGCTGCCCGCGGAGCACTCCTAATGGCAAGTCCCCCCCGCCTTCCCCTCCCCCAATTTCGCATGTTTTAAAGTAGGCCTAAATTTGGGGGGGACGGGTTTAATTTCATTTTATGCCTAGAAAACATGCTGGGTCTTCCTATTGGAGGGGGCGTATTGTTGGAGAAACACGGTAATTACTGCTGGGGGGAAACTGAAGATTCCCATATAAATCACCTTAAATTTCTGGAGAAAAATGGGATATAGATATGATAAATACAGAGTGTAAATGGCATGTGAATTTAATGAGCATTTATTGGAGTGCACCTAATTAAAATAAGCAGAATGTTCCAAAACAACAGTTCTGTGGCACCCTAAAACTGCCAATTATTTTTATGACCTAAACTGTCATGGATTACAGTCCACTTCATTAGAGGCTAATCAACAAAAGCATATGCTGTAATTAATTTAGTTAGTCTTTCAGGTTCTGCTGGTTTTGCTGCAACAGATTAACATGGCTATTCTTGTGCAGGATATTCAAATCAAACCAGACATTTTCTAACAATTAATGAACTAAATGAAAACTTTATCTGATTGTAGCATTATTGAACTTTTAAGAAAACAAAAAAAGATCAAGGGTTCCTTTAAAAGCAAAAATTAAATATTAGAAGTACTGTAAGAAGTTAGCACCTACCCCTCTCCTAGAAAAATGAAATATCCTAGGAAATATTAAAAAGGCAGAATATTTCCCCTAAGAAGAGTAGAAACTCAGAAGCAGAAACTCACCTCAGAAGCAAAAGCTTACTTCCACCATTGCTAATGGACCATTACTCTGGCCTAGGCCAGTCTATTTTACATAACAAAGATCTCCAGGTAGAGCTATAATAGCCCTTTCATTACATCCAGCAAGGCTCAACCAAACGTGGGACTCAGGACAGCCTACAGAGTTGCTCCTGCATGGTCCCATGGGAGTCTGACAACCATTCAGAATACAAGCACAAATTCAAATCCCAACAGAGGTTATAAAACCCTTTCCCTTCAGCATCTCAGCCTTTTTCCCTTTTCCTTCACCCAACATCTTGAAGCATGTGATCGCCCTTTTCACCTAGGAGCTCCAAGGCATGTGATCCTGTCCACCATTAAACCATCTTTCCGAGCAGTCACCATGTTTCCAGTGTCTTTCTTCCCCACTTGGAACTGAACCCAGAAAGATAATTCTTCCAATAGTACTTAAATATTTTAGGAGAAATATAAATCTATGATAAAGATAGGCATTCTATATAGACAATTGAATATGGATGACAAACACTCTCGATCCTATTTAAGCTAAAACAAATACTACCACAGATTTAGTAATGTTAAACACAATGGTTCCTACTGAAGAGCTTACTTTTGATATGTTACTAGTGTAACCCTTCTAAAAAAGTTTTATATGACTAAGCTATATATGGTTACAAAATGTTTTTAACCACAAAGCTTTAGCATTTTGCAATTACAAGTAAAAAACAACTGCTTTCTTTCCAGAATCAAACTAAAAGCAAGTCAAATCCTGCCATTAAAATATATATTGCAACATGACAGCTGATTACATGAGAAAAATAGAATTGTGTAGGTGTAAGACTACAATTCTTTGTATAAGTCTTATTACTTTTAAGTGAGAATATCTTTCATAAGTGCTTTCAAACATGGAGGAGGAGGAGGAGGAGGAGGAGGAGAGGGAGGAGGAGTTATTTAATGAGGACAACAATAGATGAAGACTTTAATGAAAAGAACAGATTGTATCTGATTGTAAGAAGACTGAGCATACAGAATTTTTGATAAATAAAGTGGCCTCTTGATTCACTGGAATCTTTAAAAAAGCACTAGTTATTGGTAACAAGAAAATGTCAGAATCACAATAATGAAAAAGTAGCTGAGAACCAAAAGACTCTATGGGGATTCCAAATATAAACTGATAAACATTTAAGCCCATCATAAGCTAGACATGCCTTGAGTTTGATACCCCTGGTAGAGGGTTATCTGCCTGAGCAGGAGGTTGGACTAGAAGATCTCCAAGATCCCTTCCAATTGTGTTACCTCTCTATTCTATTCTATTCTATTCTATTCTATTCTATTCTATTCTATTC